GCCAATGACCTGGATTACTTTGGTATATGCCTAACATTCCTACTGCAAATGTAATGTCTGGTCTAGTGTATACTTGCACATACATTAGACATCCTACTACAAATGCATAAGGAATGACTTCCATCTCTTCCCTTTCCAAATTATTTCTTGGGCACTGATTTAGATTGAATTTGTCAACCTTGACAACAGGAGCAACACTTGAAGCACAACCCAACATTCAAAATCTCTCTAAAACTTTATTGATATAGGCCTTTTGGGATAATCCAATCAATCCTTGTGATCTGTCCCTATAAATTTCTATGCCAATGACATAGGATGTTTCACCCATATCTTTCACATCAAAATTTCTAAAGAGAAACTCTTTAACTTCATGTAGCAACCCTAAGTCACTACTGGAAAGCAAAATGTCATCCACATATAGGATCAAAAGAATGAACTTACTCCCACTAACCTTAAGGTATATACATTGATCAATGATGTTCTCTTTAAACCCAAAAGAAGAGATAACATCATGAAATTTGTAATACCACTGACGTGAGGCTTGTTTCAACCCATATATAGATTTCTTGAGTTTGCAAACTAATTTGTTTTCTTTATCTGAATGAAAACCTTCAGGTTATTTCATGTATACCTCCTCATTCAAGTCTCCATTAAGAAATGTCGTTTTCACATCCATTTGATATAATTCTAAATCAAATAAGCTACCAAGGCCATGATAATACGAAAGGAATACTTTGTAGAAATGGGAGAAAATGTATCATGGTAATCAATGCCTTCCCTTTGGATATACCCTTTGGCTACAAGTCTAGCCTTATATCGTTCAATCTTACCTTTTGGGTCTTTTTTAGTCTTATAAACCCATTTACAGCCAACTGCATTAGCCCCTTCTTGCAATTGAATCAAATCCCATACTTGATTTTTAGCCATAGAGTCTAGTTCCTCTAACATGGCATCACACCATAACCTTGAATTTTCTCCACTCATAGCTTATGAAAACGTAATTGGGTCTTTATCAATTCCAATATCATGGTCAATTTCTTATAGATATACAACATAATCAGTGGGGATTGCAAGTTTTCTTACTCTTTAGGACCTTCTTCAACTCTATTTGTTCATTTAGAACAGGTTCATTGATAATAGGATCCTCGTAGGTAGGAACTTCTTGATTTACCTGTTCTTCCATAATAAGATCTTGAGAAATGTCTTGAAGTACAGCTAAAGGTTTTTCACTCCCACTAATGTCAACATCATCAAGAAACCTAACATTTCTCGCCTCAACAATAATAGGTTTATGCGAAGGACAATAAAACTTGAACCCCTTGGACTTTTTCGCATAGCCAATAAAAAACGCACTTATTGTCTTTAAGTCCAACTTTTTCTCTATAGGATTGTACACCCTAACCTCAACTGGACAACCCTATATATGTAAGTGTCCTAAACTTGGTTTACAACCATTCCATAACTCAAATGGGGTTTTTGGAACCGATTTGGTTGGAACCCTGTTTAAGATATACATAGCGGTTTTTAAGGCCTCACTCCATAGAGATAAAGGGAGAGAATAATTACTAATCATACTTCTTACCATGTCCATTAGCGTTCGATTCCTTCTTTCTGCCACACCATTTTGTTCTGGTGTGCCTGGCATCAAATATTGCGCTATAATGTCATTCTCCATAAGGAATTTTGCAAATGGACCTGGTCTTTGTCCTTGTTCTGTATATCTACCATAATATTCTCCTCCTCTATCCGATCGCACTATCTTGATTTGTTTTTCCCTTTGTTTCTCTACCTCCACCTTATATGATTTAAAAGCATCAAGTGCTTCACTTTTATCATTTAGAAGGTAAAGATACATAAAACGTGTGCAATCGTCAATAAAGGTGACAAAATATTTTTGACCATTGAAACATGAAATTTGAAAAGGTCCATATATATCAGTGTGTATAATCTCTAAAACTTGAAAACTCCTTCTGGCACCCTTATTGGTTTTGTTAGTTTGCTTACCCTTTATGCAGTACACACAAATACCAAAATCAGAAAAATCAAAAGTATCAAGTACTCCATCATTTACTAATCTTTTAATTCTTTGTAAGGAGATATGTCCTAATCTCATGTGCCATAATGAAGAAGATTTCTCTATTTTAGCCTTACGCTTGATACCAATATTTCCATGCAAGGTTAAGTAGTTATGATCAATATCAGGGTTTAAATCTAATTTATATAAACCATTAACCAAAATACCATTACCAATAACAACAGAATCTTTTACAATACTTAAAGAAGTATTAAAGAAATTAAAACTAAAACCAAATCCAACAAGTTTTGAAATAGAAATCAAATTTTTAGAAAAAGTTGGAATATAAAAAGTTCTTTCAAGTTCTAATGTAGAGCCAGATGGTAAGGTGAGTCTGGAGGTTCCAATCGCCTCCACATGTGAACTCATCTTATTTCCCAAATAGATAAAACGTTCACTTTTCATCGATCTCCTTAGGTTGATTGAACCCTGCATAGTATTGGCAATATGAATTGTAGAACCAGAATCAATCCACCAAGCATCATTAAATGAAAAGAGATTACCTTTTTTAAGCAACCAAGCCTTATACTTAGGGCATTTCTTTTTTATATACCCTTTCTTTTTGTAGAAGAAGCACTTGATGGTACCCTTATTGTCAACTTTACTAGTTGACGTATTCCCCTTCTTCTTAAATTACACACCCTTTTTGATATGTCCCTTTCCCTGTGTCGCTAAGTAAGCACTTTATAGCTTCTCCTGATTCAATCTCCCCTCCTCTTGAACACATATGGTAAGCAATTCATTAACTGACCATTTTTCCTTATGTGTGTTATAAGAAATCTTGAATGGCTCATATTCAGCAAGAAGGGAGTTGAGTATAAATTGGACAAGGAATGTCTCTGAAAAAGTAAACTCCAATGAGTTCATTTGGGCAGTTATATCTCTCATTTCCATAATATGTTCACAGACCCCTTTATTATCCATATGCTTCATTGATGATAATTTGGTCATTAGGGTGCTAGCCAATGCTTTATCGGAACTTACAAACTGTTGTTCAATTACTACTATGTATTCTTTTGCCTTAGTACATTCAAGAATTGAACTCCTTATGTTTTTCCCAACATGACTTTTAATGAGACACATACTTAAGCGATTTGATCGCTGCCATCTCTCATAAGAAGCCTTTTCACTTGGCGTACTTGATTCCATGGGGATGGGTGGTTCATCCACACGAAGTGCCAAATCAATGTCCATGCGCCCCAATGTTAGAAGGATTTTTTCCTTCCAATCCGAATAATTATCACCAGTTAAAAATGGGATATGAGATGAACCAATATTGACAGAACCAGATGAAATTACTGCAAAAAGAAAACATGTCAAACATTACTTTACTATATAATAAACTTTATTGAAATTCTTAACCCGCGTTAAAAAATTTCATATCAAAATAATGTGTCATTATAACCTTCCTGTGGGTAAAGGTTTTAATACAATAATGTTTTTTAAAAATATAACCATAATGGAATAAAATATACTTTAATGATATTAAACTAATAATGATACAGTCCTGTGGGCATTTGTATTCATTGTCAGTTTAATTCCAAAATCATTTTTATCCACATTCATTCATAAACAATGATTATTTCCCTATAGGTCAGAATAAAACACTTTTTATGAATGAATTATAACATTTTAATGCATAATCTTTATGTGATATATATATCATATATTAAAACTAACTTTTTTTTTTTTTTAATATGTCACAAAACCAACAACCAAAGATGTTGTGGCTACTCTCTGGTTAAAAATACATATTAAAATAATAGTAATACTCATACTTTAATAAACTGCATGTATGAGAATATACTAGACATAAAATTTTTAATATGCAGTAACTGTATAACTCTGAAGTATTCTTCATTTGTATAGAAATTTCCAAAACTATACAACTTCAGAGTAATCTGCAAAAATAAAAATTCATTATAAAATAACTTTTATGGTCTTATGATGAGATTCATCCTTTTTTAAAGCAGTCGTGAAACCATTCGGGTCTTAATCACTTTTACCATAAAAAAGAAAACGTTGTATCCACTGTATAAATTTACAATGAGATTCTCCCATATTTAAAGTAGTCGTTAAACTGTTCGGGTCTAAACACTTTATTCATCGCAATCTGTATGGGTGTAGTATTCTACCACTTCATTCCGGCCAACGTAACTAACCGATTAAACAGTATCGAAAAAATATTACAGACATAAACACAACCACTAAAAATAGTACAGAACAAATAGAACACAAAGGAAATATTACCGGCCAAAAAGACAACGGCGACATAGCCACTAAACAAATATTACAGGCCAGAAAAAAGAACAACAACATAGCCAAAAGGTATCGCTCTGATACCAAATGGAAGAAACCATCAAGTCCAAAGAGATCGCATTACTTCCAGCCATGAAATCATATTGATTAATGCCTGCAAATAAAGTGAGAAATCCTAATAACGTTCACGCCTATACAAGTATTGATGCGTGTACTTGATGGAGACAACACAGATTGTACTTGTTAGACATGGGACCTCTATAGGATTCTGTAAAAAAAAAAAATCAAGAAGTAAGTAATCCATCATACAAGCCCTCTTTTATATTTTGATTCAAAATGACAGTTATTATTAAACCACCGTAACTTCCCAAAAACCACGTAGTTATAACTTTCCAATAATATTGTGTCAGTGTAAGTGGTTAGAAAAGTGTGAGAATATAGACCACACCACATTTAACTTTCCAATAATATTGTGTCAGTGTAAGTGGTTAGAAAAGTGTGAGAATATAGACCACACCACATTTAATGAAAAAACTTAGTCCAACAATATATATATCACATGTATATGTTTGTATGCATGATTGGGATCGATACACAGACGAATACTATAGTTGTAAAGAAGATAAAAGGAAGTAGAAATTCATAAGTAATAGTGAGTACGCGTGTATTAATTAAATTGCCCTCTCTTTATTTAATCTCATTCAGCTCTTGAAGCATAAGAATCATAACAAATGAAACAATGAATACATATATATATATATATATAGATAGAAATTAATAAGTACTGAGCCGCCATTAATTGGTATACATTCTTCTTCATGCATGCAATCAGTAAAGTGTATGCCCTCTGATCTTCATCATGGATGGATCTATACGGCTGTTTGTTTGATGTTCTGTTGCTGCTGCTGCATGGTACAAGTGACGAGTGAGCATGCTCGGATGGGGTCTCCTCCTCCTAGTGGTACCACCGGCAAGACATCGCAGTTGCAGATTTCAATCATGAAGCCATCTGGATCATGGAAGAATATCTGATCCACCATGATCCCGCCTTCCTCCACCCTACCCCTCACGTACTCTATCTCCATCTCCTTCAGCTTCTTCTCCACTGTTCCCATGCTCTCACACTGCCATATATTGCCATGCCACCAAGGTCAATATTGTCATTTCACAAACACTAACATATGTGTTTGTGTATACTAATCTCATCCATAAATTTCTTTCAACTTATATATAATTGTCAAATAACTCATGTATACGTAATTGTTTGTCTATTTACACTTATTTGTGTGTGTGTGTGTATATATATATAGACTATACAGAGAGAGAAAGAGACAAACTTGGAAAGAGATGTGGTTGTCCTTGGGATTGATCTGGGTAATCTTGGGCATATTTTCAGGGCATTCGGGTTGTATAAGATGTATGCCGACACCATAATTGAATAACCTGCATATATATATATATATATATATATATATATATATATATAAAGCACTTAATCAGAAAAGCAAATTAAGATCAATGGAAAACGAAATATAAATCAAGAAGACAATTCAATTATAAAAAAAAAAGTAGATTATTTCATTTTAATGAGATATCTTTATAATGAATTAAGATTACTGAATGTAGTACGTACCAAGCTCCATCAAAATCAAAAGAACCAGGCCTCTTGATAGGGTCAAAGCCAAGAACATTGACGTAGAAATCAAGAGATTTCTCAACCGATCGACAGCAAATCGAGATATGATTGACCGACTTCAAGTGCAGAGGATTTCCCACGGTTTCCTTCATTTTCTTGATAACCAAACTTAATTCCAAGAAACCAAGAAGACTCAAAGTTGAGTACTCTTGAAGGATATTAAGTGAGGGCTTAGAGGGATAATCAAATTGAAAAACGAAGTTGCAAATATATATAAACAAAATTGGTAGCGAGAGAGAGAGTCACAGAAGTATTGATGGCTGTGTCGAAGTGGAACAGCTAAGGTATATATATAGACAAGCTTTTAAGAGACAATTGACTGTGTAATAATATATTGTGCGGGTTACTCTTAAGTTTTCAAACATGGTGATGTGTTTTACAACTAGATACCACGTTGATGATTTGTTCTGGTCAAGCTTACCACGTCAGTCGACCATCTGTGTATTTTATTTTGGGCATCCACGCAACAAATTGTCTAAATTTGTCTATGCTTATCTAATTAAACTCTTTGGACCAAATACAATCTCAAACCGCGACCCTAACTATTTTTTCGCTACTTTTCCACAAGTCTTTTTAATTCAAGGAGACTCATTCCCTCATTTCTAAATATAGAGTACTCAAAATGGTTTTTTTTTTTGGGGTTAAATGAGAACAGCCAGATAATTTTAAAACACTTTTCTGAGTTTGAATAGCAAACCAAGAATTTTTTTTTTAGGAAATACAGAAAATTTTATAAATTTACAATAATTCTATTTTTTTTTTAAATAAAAAATAAAAGAGGTAAATGTATTGCAAGATAAAATGATAATTTTAGAGAGGCATAAGGGGCTTGTTCTTGATCAGGACTTGAGCTAAGATTAATTTGGCAGCCTAAAACACCCACATAATTATTAACTAGAAATCTCACCTAATCAGTATCCTCCTTAAGCTTGATTGATTGTTAATAACGAACGTCTCCTTAAGAAAATCAAAAACCCAATTTGCTTATCAAATGATCTAACAATATTTGGATGTATTCAACTCTTTAGGTTCACTAAAATTATTCAGTGATCGAAGTTGCGGATCATCTACCACCTTCAATATAGGTGTTCTGATGTGACCTCAGTACTATAAATTAAGACTCAGGTCTTCTTCATTAATTAGTGATTCAAGTCTTCTATTTTAACCTAAATTAAATTGCCTTTTTATTTTGTTAGGAAAGTTGTGGACTGGTACAAGTTTCCTCGTGAATTGTAATTAGGTGGATCGATCATATATATGTGTATATACAATATTCTTATTTAATGGATTTATTTAGGTGATTAATTTCTAATCTCATTATTGTTGAGGCGGTGTGTTTTTGCTTAATACAATGGGTAAGTTGAATTAGGTATAAATCGATCGCATGCAAATTAATTCTTCAAGACATGGCAACTTATGAAGGGCGACATGACAAAAACACTTTTGGACTTACTAACCATGCGCGCATGCATGGTGGTGGTCCATTACAATGAAACAAATACAAATACACTTTTACTTCAAATGATCGATTAAAGTCATGGCTGGTGGCTTTTTATATATCCTGATGGATGACAAAATTAACTAGATCGACCAGTAGAAATATTGATGTATTAGGTATATATCTATATGCTTCTATATATGAACATTCACTACTTGAAATTTGTCCATTTGAGAGTTTGAGTCGAAATTGAATTCTTACAGCTGCTTTTCATTACTATCTTTCAGTTTTGTTATTGTCAATGCCCTTTTCCTTGGAGAATTCGAATCATAATTGAAGTACTGTTTGGTACATATGAAAAATATTAAAAAAGGGAATAAAAAAAAAGTCAACCCAGAAACATTCATGATATTTTTAAACAAACCCATGCACACAAAATAGGAAAGAAAAAAATAATAATAAAAAAATCCAGAAAACAAACACAAAACTTGTATATGCAATCTGAGGCATGAATTAAACCAAAGAAATAAGAAGTATGACAACGATAAAAGGAAAGATGACAGAAATAGAGAAACATCTAGAAAAAAGAAACTATGCTCATTCCTATCTTAAAGAAGCTGATCAAGGTTTTTTCTTTAATTATTATTATTTTTTTTTAGTTTTTTTTTCTTTTTAGTAAGGCAAAGTAGGAAAGAAGTTGATGATGAAGTTGCCAAATATAGAGTTGATTTGGTGGTATTGCTTAAGATAGCAACTAGGTTACCAGGGTTTGGTTTCTTATTGATTTTATTCTAATTAAAAATTGGCAACATGCATGTTAACAAAGATGCTGACATATACACAGTATATGTCAAGTACTCATTCCCATCAACACAGTACAGTATACGCACATGGCAAATACTTAACCTAAAAATTGGATTTTTATAAGCGTGTTAGATAGGAAGTCTTTCTTAATTTGAAAGCGTCATTTTGTTTAAAAACTCATCATATATATATATATATATATATGTATAGTTTATGCAGAAAATCAGAATATGACAGTACGTACGTAGAAAATATTACTGTATGGGTGCAAGAAATGAATCTGAAATTAAAAGTGATAGTATATTGTGAGTCATGAATTCCGAAAGTGGTAGTAAGAAAGAGGGTAGGAATAGGATACAAGAAAAAAGAACGGAGGTAGTATATTGTGAGTCATGAATCCCGAAATTGACATTTAAAATGGAATAGAGAAAGTAATTAAACAGAGAACTTTATCTAAATCAGAAGGACCATCAGAATTTAAAAAGGTTAAGCTATTTAATTTATATATCATCATTTTCTTCTCACCTTATTGTTTCCTTGATTCCATCTGGAAGGTCTTCCATAACACATTTTTTTTTTCAAGCTTATCTCCGGTTTTTAGTTTTTATCGATGTCCATTCTTACAATATTTATTTTTTCAAGTACATCATTATAATATGCTTTGGTGCCTTTTTTTCCTTTTTTTTTTCGCATACATTTCTTGTATGTGGGAATTGAAACAAAAAAATTTAACAATTACGGTTTCTTGAAAATTGTTCATAATTTGATCATTGAAAATTTACTTGGTTATTAACTTATTGGTTAATTAAATTTCACCATGCATGAGTCATGACACTGTCCATTGCAAGATTGGTAGTGTCCCAGCTTACTATATGGCCCTTCTTCGTCTTTTTCTTTTAGATTAGTTGTGACACTTGAAAAGTGAAAGCAAAATAAATATTTTCTTTCATAGTTGTTCTTTAAATTTTCAAAATTCATTCAAATTGATAATATGTATATTTAAATTTAAAAAGATATATATTTTTTTAGATATAATTAAAATGATTAGATGACTAGAATCTATCATCCCTATCTCATAATGGACAAAACTGGCATAGCAGTTAATTGCTAAGTTGCTAACCTTCAGCCTATTAATGTGTTAAAAGACAAGATAGCCATAGGCCCATAGCATATACTGTAAACTATATACATAAATTAATATATGCATATGTATGTGTGTGTGTGTGTGTTTGTGTGTGTGAGAGAGAGAGAGAAAGAGAGAGAGTGAGTGTTAATTAGTACTTCATATATCAGAGAAGTCTGCTTCAGAGTCGTCACTCCGGCCACACAAATCATATTATTCACGATTTCAACGCATAAGTAGTTTATAATAAATAAATTTCAATCATAAGGTACTACTGTCGTCATTCATATAATTATGGTGTCAAACGGACTCAAGACTTAATTATTATAAATATATAGTATCTTAATCCAACATCAACATTGCCCTCTTTTTTATTCAGAATTTTTTTAATTAAAATCACGCTGTCAAGCTTATCGAAAACTCGATGGAGTGTACTCAAACAAAATCACAGCTTGACCAGTGGAGAAAATTAAGAATACAAGTCATAATATTATATATATGTCTCGTAATTGCTTTGTCCTCTTAAACGCAGTGGTTCATTTCATATGTATAAATACACACACATTATTTTGCAAAAACACGCATTGACCTTCTAGGTTCATGCAAATTTGGTGCAAGATAAATTTATAAGAACATCATTTAAATGATCCGCTATGTATACTATTTACATGCACAATTAAAATATTGTGTTTGGAAATTAAATAATAATGTATAGTTTGACTTAATTTTCTTATAATTTTATTTTCAAGACACCAATTTTTAATTATTGTAATTAACCTTTACTCAAACTCTTATTCTCACCTAAAAATTCAAAGTTTTCCATTATACAAAATAATAGAGTAATATGCTTTTATTAAAGGGTTAAATACAAAAAAAAAAAAAAAAAAAAAAAAAAAAAAAAAAAAAAACACCCTTATAATATGCAAAATGTGCACTTACCTCCCTATTGTTTGAAAATTTTCCTTACTGTTTTTAATTTGTGCAAATAAGGACAAATCATAATTTTGGTAGTAAAATTACTAAATTAACCTTAGTTTATCATTAGTAGCAAGAAAAAAAAAAAAAAAAAAAAAAAAAAAAGGCAAAAGACAAAACATCAAAATTCCCCGTAAATTGGAATGTGAGTGTCTAGTTACCTTTTACCAAATTCAACCATTGTCCTTTCAATACATTCAAGAATATATCTATATATAAATCTATAGTTGCTAAAAATGAAAATTTTATAGATCTACATCACGCGTCAATCTCACTTATCAATAATAATTTTTTAACTGCATTTTATCCCACTTATTAATGATTTTTGAGAAATTGTTCTTGAAAAGTTAATTGTAAACCGACTACAGAAAAAAAATTAAAAAAAAAAGTTCATGGCAAACTCAAAAAGTTTGGCTCACGTAATGTTTAAGCCTTGTGCTTGTTTATTATAAAAAACAGAATATGATAAAAATATCAACATTAATAAAATAAAATAAACAATTTTAAAAAAAAAATGTATTGCTTAAGTTTGTGTCTGACGGAAGAGTAATTACTAGATCAAAATTTTAATTTTAATAGAAATCCTAAGTTAATTTGATAACAATTTGTGTCAAAGCAAATTCATTTAATTATTATTATTATTATTATTATTATATATAATTATGGAGGTTCATTCATTTACAAGAAAATATAGTGCATCTATCATTTAGAGCGGAGATAATATTGGCAGGGACAAAAAAAATTTAGAGAGAAAAAAAAATTAGAGAGAGATAATATCAACGGCCACAAAAAAAATATTTTAGAGATAAAAAAAATTTAGAGAGATTATGGGCGGTGGCGAGATATTTTAGAGAGATAATATATATCTATATATATATATATAGAGAGAGAGAGAGAGAGAGAGAGATAGACTATGACGACACACAAAGTTTTTCTTGAACAAGTCTTGAAACACATCCAAACAAACTCATTTAGTGTTCAAACATATACAAAATTAATAGGGGCATTCTTGTCACACAAAATGGCACTTCTGATTCTTTTTTTTTAAAAAAAATGACGTCACCAACGGCTCTTTTTCATCGAATCCATTCAATAGGGGCCAAATTGCTTAAAAGATGAATAATACAAGCAGGGACGGATCTAAAAATTCATATGAGGGGGCAAATTTATGTAGAAGGGTTTTTTCATAATTTCAGTGGGGGACAATTTTAAAATTATATGCATATAAATGAAAAAAAAAATAGAAATTTAAGAGTATAAAATGCAATAACAAAAATTTCAGTAGGAGCGGAAGCCCCCACTGAGCCCACAATACATCCTTACCTGAATACAAGAAGTTATATGAATTTTTTTTTTTTTTATTTCTAGTAGGAGTATTTTTTACACAATTTTTATATGACAAAGGATTTTTTTTGTACTTAACCATTTATTAAATGGATTTTTGTTTACTGTTGAACACTCCTAAAACTTCTAAACTCAATTGTAGATTGAACTTTTCAAGTTGGTCAGTGTTGGATTTGACTAGGACTCAAGCTCAACTATTGAGACAAAGCGTCAACTTTCAATAATACATAGCAGGCTTCAAGTGCTAGTCCAAGGTGGGCCAGCATTTCAACTACAATGATATTATGTGGACTCAGATTTTGGCCTGGACTGGGCTTGGAAGGATGAAAGCCTCTCTTACATGGTCCATGACGTTGAAAATCATAGTAGAACTTTTTTGCTTTAGTTTTTTTTAAGGGCAAAGTACAGAAAACCCCTCTTGACTTATAACTTTTTTCTGTAAACCCCCTTCATCTAATTTTTTACCAAGGAACCCCATCGACTTGTAACCCTTTTCAATAAATTCCCCTTTTTAATTTTTTACCAAGGAACCCCCGTCAACTATCTAAGGGGATAAAATAATTGATATTTTGACCAAAATACCCTTTTATTTAAATCTTAATTATCACAAATTTCAAAAATTCATATATCACAAACCGTACATCCAAATATTACAAATAATATATGCACAGAAAACTTATAAAACAAGAATTCCAAAAATATAAGATTTGTTTAACAAAACTGTAATGTTACCGATTTTCCCATTTTCCATTTTCTGGAGTTTTCTAATTTTCTAAGAGTATTTTCGTCTTTTTTCGTTTTGCGTGCTATACACCGTGGGTGTGCAGGGTGTGTCTGAGAGTTGATTGGGGCATTCCATTGAGTTCAGGACTCTTGAAAATGTTTCGGTTGTCATTTCGATATTTTTTTATTTTCGGGCCGAACGGTCTCGAGTGGGACCCGCTACCGAAATTGTCGCGTACGGGGGTTTTGGTTGGGTCCATTTGCATTTCATTTATTTTTATTTAATGTGTTTATGTGGTTATTGTAGTCATATGTTTGTGGTGGAAAAATAAAGTTAAAAGGAAAAAAGAAAAGATATTTTAAAGTGGTGGGACCCACCACTTACTCCTTTAGTGAGCATAAGGCCATTTTGGCCTCATTTTTCTCTTCTCCCGGCTATTTCTCTCTCTCTCTCTCTCTCTCTCTCTCTCTCTTTCTCTCTTCTTCACTTTTTTCTTTTTCCTTTTCCTTTAAAACTTCAAAGTTGGATTAATCTCCAACCATTTGGAGATTTTTGGTACTGTTTGCGACAAAACGGAGAGTTTGGCGAGATCTACGCATTGATAGGAGCAATTGCTTGTTTGGCTACCCATAGGATTTTCGAATTTTAGGGTTTTGGGCTTGGACATTGGGGATTTTTCATCACTTTGAGGTAAGATGTCCTAATCCACAAATACTCTGTGATTTTTGTGAGTTTTCTCTACATTGAGTGCATAACATGCTTAATTGTGATTAATCCTTGAAAAATTATTATATTGTTGTTAATGATGTGAATATCTATGTGATATTATATGTGTGGATGATGAATGTGTAAGTGGCCAGTAGATTTGATGTGGGAAGCATGTTTACGTGAAATTGTTTCATAAATTATATGTTTGACATGCTAGACTATTGTTGAATGAAAGTGTATTTTTGTGGAATTTCTTGTAAAGTATGCTGAGTGGTTAAGCTTCAATTTAAATGTATGATGGTAAATGTTGGCATGGCTTGTTTTACAACTTGGACTCGTTGTTGTTGATTTTGTTGTTAAGTCTATTCCTTGGTATGGCATGATCCCGTTTTCCTTATTTTTATACTCTGTTTAGATTCACGGGGTCACAAGAGGTGTGTCTTAGGCACCACCTACTGAGCTTTTAGCTCATCCCTTCATTTAACATTTTTCAGGTCACGGAGTTGAGTTGGTAAGTGTTGATCTTTCACGAGCATGGGCTGAGTTGGAAAGGATCTTCCTTGTACTACATTGTATTTTGATGTATATTTTGTAAAGTCTCAAATTGTAATATAACTATGAGTAATTGGCTCTATTCTGATGTATTTTGAGCTAATTGTAAAGACTATATATATTTCTTGGATGAATGGGATTAAAGATGTTGTATTGTAATAAAATATTGATGTTTTTATCTATGCAATGTAAAAAGTCACTTTTCAATTGTTAGAGCAAGTTTTAGAATCAGTTTCAAAGTTCTTACCTAAAGCCTCTCTTCATTTTTACATTTTTAGCAAGTCCAGTAGCAGGAACCAGCTCGCAAAGCCATTTCGGTCAACCAAAATGTGTACTTCGGTCGACCGAATCATCTCACAACCTCGAGACTTTGTACTTCGGCCGACCGAAACCTCATTTCAGTCGACTGGTTCAGGGGGAGTTATTTCAGCCGACCAGTTCTCCATTCCGGTTGACCGAACTGTGGCTGCTAGTAGCTTTTTGTTTCCTTCTTTAGTACAATTAACCACAGGCCTTGGAAAGTCGTTTAAAGCCTTCTTGGTACATATTTAAGACATAATAATAAAGTATTGACCTTAGGCATGATGTAGATTGACTTAGGTGTCCTCGGTTTCGGGTAAGGACCCGGTTAACGGTTTGGACCCACAGGTTCGGGTCATTACAAAAATTTCATAGCTAAAGAAAAATAGACAATCTAAAAATCTACTACAACAATTTTATTTTATTTTTTTTTACAAAATACTCGTGTTATTTGTAAGAAAATTTTCAGAATTATTTATTTTCTTATGGAGCATAACATATAACAAAATTAGCCCCAATAGAAACCGAATATTCATTTTTAATTTTTTTTTTTAAATGGTGAGTCTATAAAAGAATGAAAATACTTTGATGCAAAATATAATATCTCATGAAATCGATCTCTGTTGGGGCTAAATTTTTTTATATATTTGCCTCCATATGTAAGTGAATAATTCTGAAATTTTTTTTGCAAATATATCGAGTATTTTAGTAAAAATAAAATAAGATTGGTAGAGTATATTTTTAGATTGCCTATTTCTCTCTGGTTATGAAGGTTTGTTTTACAAATTTTATATTTCTGGAATCCTTATTTTATAAGCTCTTCGTGCATATATCATTTACAATTTTTAAATGTACGGTTTGTGAGATATGAATTTTTGAAGTTCTGGAGTATTAAAATTTAAATAAAAGGGCATTTTAGTCCAAATATTAACTCTTTTACCCCCCTTCAAATAGTTGAGGGGGGTTCTTTGGTAAAAAATTAAACAATGGGGGTTATTGGAAAAAGACTACAAATCGAGGGGGTTTTTTTGGTAAAAAAATAGACAAGGTGGATTTAATGGAAAAGATTACAAGTCGGGGGGTTTTCATTACTTTGTCCGTTTTTTTTAATAACAATTTTAAGGAATTCAAGTAATAGAAAATTTAGTTTTAAATAATTATAAAAAATAATTATCCATTTTAAACCAAATTTTCACAAAATAGTTTTCAAAAGACTATCAATAAAGCAGATTTTTTTTTTTTTTTTTTTTTACATTTTCAAATTTTACATTTATCAGGAAATAAAAAAAAAAAAATGTTCTTAAAAAACTGAATCAAATAGAACATATAATATCCAAGAGACCCACATATATTTTTTTCTGAGTTGATTTGGTGAAATTGGAATGTATTTACAAGCCCAATTAGATCTTCATATCGGGCTCAAAGCTTCAAATTCTATGAGACCTGGTAGTGGTCAGATATATCGGGCAAGGCCCAGGCTTGGTTTAGTATTGGGCCACTTCATTGGAAATTAAATGCAACTTTACAATTTTACCCACGTAATTGTTAAGGTTAATTCTCATCATGTCACTCCAGTGACTCCAGTCTGACTACTATGTGCGGATAAATCGGTCTTTTCAAATTGCAAAATGTAGTAAGTGTAGATTTTGTGTCACTCTCTCGGGAAAAACCCAGGAAAATGTACGAGTATTTCTCCACGAGCTGCCACTCAAGCCATTAAGCAGCACTGAAAAGGGCGATAGTCGAGCCTTTTTTTTCTCTACCATGTTTATTTTACCACCAATTTGCGTTGATATATATATATAAATATGCACGTGTATATATATGACAATATGAATTTTGCTTTATCATCAAGAACGCTATGTCGATCGGATCAATACCGTTAGTTACTTGCGTCTCACATAGCAAAACCCACCAAATTTTTTGTCACTTTCTTCATTATTTATTTGGATTGTTTTTTCTGTATTTGATTTTTACAGGTATATTGGTTTATAATGGACGATAAGACCAACAATATATATACATATACACTGACACACATGTATGCCCATGAGGGAGTCCGCAACTGAAGGTACGATTTTAGACTTCATTGGAGAGGAAGATGGAGCTAGAAAGAAGGGATGTATATGGTTACATAGTATATTAAATAAATGTGAGTCTTTTTTCCTATTTTCATGGTTTAGATAATTAATAAAGTGAGCGAAATTAGCCACTCTTTAGGCTTTTGTTTGGAACCAAAATCTTATTGGAATTTGAATTTGAAATGAAATTCCATTTAAAATAAACTAAAATTGAAGGCAAATTGAGTGTTGTAGAGAATTTGAATGGGTTCGTGGATTTGAAGAATTGAAGAAACTGTCTTTGTATAGACATATTGATTAATTGTTTTGATCTTTGATTATTTGTGATTAAGCATTGCATGTTATGGGTATATTTTGAAAATCGGTATTTGATGTGGGTTTTATTTGATGTGGTTTTTGTAGAAGGAAATAACCTGTTCATTTCAGTATGATCCTTCCTTTTTGATTGGGTACACATATTGGGTTGAGGTGATGCGGAGATGATGATTTATAGGTTATAGTGGTTGGATGAAGAATGTGCATTTAGGACATTGTTTGATTGTTTTGTGGAAAAATTTCAGGTTTAGGAGTAACAGAGTGAGAACATTAATTACTGATTAGTACTTTTTGTTAGGAGAAATGAATTTTTGATAGTGGATTGAGGGATTCATTGATTGATTATTTGTTATTGATCAATTGTGAATATGTCGGATGGAACAGCAGTTGGGGGTGGTGGATTAATGAGGCAGAGGCACAGTCAAGGACATTCCTCGAGTGACGAAGAAGACCTTGAAGATGATGCATGTTCAAGACCACCCTCTCAGCCATTACCATGTCCAAGGCCTAATACTTGGGTTGAGGTTGTAGAGAATGTTTTGTGGATTGCTTCTGCAGTTTTTATCATATATTTCGGTGATGGACACTCCAATTTTATTTACTTACTGTGCCATGATAATCGGATTAGAAGGTGAACAATTCTATTCAATCTTAAACATCCATCTCATCTCTCTGATTATTGTTCTTTTAATTACTTTATTGGTACTTTATGTGTTATACGAGTATGTTTGTGTATTTATGTCTATTCTTGCAAAACATAGACATATATGATTGTTTTAGATCAGCTATGTAAGCATAGACATATAAAGTTTTTTATATGCATATAATGTGTATATGCACACACATATGTAGTATGTACATTGCTGAATTCAGTGTTTATAAACTATGAACTGAGGTGATTCTTTCTGCTTCTTATGTTTACTGCTGTTGTATTCCCCGTGCAGAATACCATTATACCTTGGGGTGTTGGTTCTTTGTTTGAATGTTCTCTTCTTCCTGTATACTACTCTGTTAGCATGGGGTGTTCAAATGTGGAGCGAGAAGTGGGAAAATTTCACTACATCTGCCCTGCCATTGTTAGCATTGCTCGGGCTCATCTCCTTTTGCTTGTAAGAGGAACTATATATAAGGCCATGATTTTTATTTTTTGGTTTTATATTAACTTCAGTCCATTCTTGAGACTAGTGCTCTTCATTTTTCCTGAACTCGTTATATATTGCAGTTTCTGCTTTGCTTTGTGGCCAATTTGGAGTTTCTTGACCTTGCCTCTTGTGGTACATCTACATGCTCCCTTTTCAATTTGTGTAAATTTGTGGCTGTTGGAAATTTCACTTGCGGAGACTACCTAATTATTATGTAATTATGCAGTTTACGCTGTTTATGGCTTCCATGGTTATATTGCCCTATTTGATGCTCGGGAAAGTCAGGCCAGAAAGTGAGTGATGTGCTCCGCGCAGATTAAACTTTGGATTTCAGTGGAAAATTCAATGTCCACACTGACTTAGTTGTAGGGTTTGTCCATCAGAACGGGATGGTTGGTGACATTTGCAGCTGCATTTAAGTTCATCAGCAAAGCTGACTGTATGTTAATCTTTGTTTCATATTGAATTCCCTATTTTGTTTTGGAACTACTTCATGTTTGTTCTGTTGTTTCCTGTTTTTAGGAATTTTGATGAAGTGCAAATTAATTTATTGCAAATAGACATTTATTATATAGTCATTAATTACCATTAAGAATGGAAATATGGACTCTACAAAAATGAGTGAGTTAAATACACCATGTCAAAGGAATATGTTCGATGCAATCTTTTACATGATCTGTAATCTGTAGCATGAATATTTGTGAGGATTGTCTGTCTGACTTCATCTCACCATTGAATATATTGAATTTAAGTTCACTATGTGAAAAAAAGGCTTCCCTCTTGGAAATCATTTAAAACTTGGGAGTACAAGTCAGCTTTTGCAAAGAAATCAAATACTGAGATCGAAATTCCTTTAAACTTGGACCATTTTGAAGTTTAAATTGATAACTATATTTACAATTTTATTAGATGGGTAGTGTAGATGACTCTTGAATTTGATATATGTGTGTGTGTATATATATATATTTGTTAATATTTTATATCTCCTCTCCAAAAAGGGAATGTGAGCATCTTTCTTTACCTTATATTCCCGATAGTGCTAGATTTGGAATAGTAACTGATAAGATATGCAAAACCCAACTGGATAAGCAATTGCAAATCCTAGATTTGTAACCACAGCTTACTTTGAGTTGATGAGGATTGAGGATCCCATCCGTCCTTTATGTCATACGTGTTTGTTTCGTGGGAAAGTATTTTGTAAACCCCACTGCAATGACTTTCTTTAATCCTCACAAAGGCACTGTCCTAACCCAACCCATTGTACTGTCTCCAAAGTTGAGAAGACACCTTTCGACATCTCTTTTCCACAACTCCCCACTAAAAGAAAAAACATATCATGCCAACATAATGCATTATTGTACTCTCAATACTTTGTGAATTTGCGTTTACATTATCAACTACACAACGAGATGTTGAAAAACACTACTAGTAGTATATATATATATATATAAGCTTTGGCGCCGAAAAAGAAAGCATTCTTTTCAGAGATTAAGACCAAACAAGCAATCTCTCTTTTGAGGGACACAGAGAATGAAAGAAAGCAAAAGATTAATTGATGACATTTGTGGAAAAATATGAGCTAGATGAAGTACCTATTTTCAACAAATTCACATGCTCTTACGTTTTTCTTTTTATTTAATTTCTTTTTATGTCTGGAATCATTGAACTCTTGTACCTTGTTGCCATGCAAAGCATGAATCAATAATAAAAAAATAAATAAAAAGGGGGCCAAATCCGTGTTTTTTTTTGGGGGGAGGGAGTTTCGAAAAATATTAGACAAGCATTCACGAATGTCCACTATAAAGTTCGAGGTTATACCCTAATTTTGCCTAATCCTTCATTGAAAACGATTGCAAGAAAGGATTGCCCTAATATTTCTGGTAGTTATACTTAACTTTTGAAATTCCAAGTGATTCCTTGGATTATCAGATTGCCCTTTCTCCAGAACTTTCCAAAAGGTTTTTTCAATTCCATGTGTGTGTGATAAACTTTTCTAGTTGGTGCACTAATGAGTGTGGGTTTTTTTTATTTTTATTTTTTGCACCAAACAGAGCAATGAGTGTGGATTGATATGTAACATTGTTGGGCTTCTGGAACACTTCATTTCTCTGTGACATTTTAGCTGGACATAAATTTACAATCCTAATAATTATTTAACATAACCATGACCACCTAGCTTTGGTTATGGCATTAATTTGTCATGTGCTTCGTTTGCAGAAAATCAATGCAGTTGGAAGCATATGACATGCTATTTGCTATTGACAAATATAAAGTAGCAGAGACCAATGTGTCGTGACTCGGTGACATGTTTTAAAAATTTTGCATTGTCAAGTATGATACAATTTTAGATATATCTTGACTCAAGTACCTTACAATGTTGTGAGCTAAACTATACAAAGCGGGAGCGGGAGCGGGAGAGGGAGCGGGAGTGTGAGAGCAGCAAAATTATATCATAAATACTAAGAATTTGACTCTTTAAACGAGAGCGGAATCGAACTTGGAGTGTGAGAATAATACTTATTGAAAAGAATTGTGTGATTAAAATTGTGAATTCCATCACAACAATTATAAAGAGAGGTCACAGTATTATAAGATAAACAACCATCGTTGGTAAAATTTGGCCTTCTTAAAAAAAAAAAAAAAAAATTGAAAGAGTGATACTTACGATAATATTCTTGATTTTTTGAATCATATAACATAAAGTTTAGTGAGAATTAGATATCTTCTACAAAATGTAGGACATCCAATGAGAAAGAGACCCGCCATGGTCAGAGAAAACGAACAAAAAAAACTCTCCACTTTGAGACTGGTGTTAATTGAGAGAGACCATACAAGATGTGGAAAAGTAGAGTCATCACTTGCACATCTGCGGTCAAACGCAAATTACATCTCTCAAAAGTCAACCTCATCAACAGTGAGAAATCCTTTCCACATACATTCCTTGAACATCAAATTATTATTAGTCATATCCTCCACCCACAAACTATGATCACACTTTTTATTTTTATTTTTAATTCACTCATGATGATGATCCATATTCTCTCAAAAGCATAGATGGTGAGTGCTGTATTTTCATTTCCAATCACACTCATCTTATTTCACTTATAACATCTAATCATCTAATTTAGGGCCCAATGCCCTTATGATCAACAAAAAAAAAAAGTTGTAGGCCCAAGTTCCGAATGACCAAACTGGCCTCTGTGGAGTAGGCAAGTTATGTGTCATATGGTTGGTCAAACAAACCGAAAAAAATTCATGCTTTAAGCATTTGGTGGAATTGATGAACGGTGGGACCCAGATTTTTTGGACCAATTTTTTCTTTTCGTTTTTTTTACTTGGTCGGTACTCTTTTAATTTTAAGGAAGACCTCGCTTCCATTTCCTCCCTTAATGCTTACTTTGTTTGAAATGCTGGATTTGATGAGATTTATATTTAAAAATAAGATTTATTTTATTTAAAATTATATAATTATAAATTAAATTTGATAATTATAGGATTTTAAATACCTTTTTAATTGCGTTTTAAATCTAGTCTAAATAGCCAGGTTAACAGGATAAATATTCATTATTCATTAATTATATATTTTCTTAATTAACCCTCCAACATCTTCTTGTAACTCTTCTTCTTATTAAACTCTATCCTATTAAATATTTACTACCATATCTCATTCTCTAATGTTTTTCTTCTCTTCTCTTATTTAACTAAATCAATGCTACTAACTCGTCGTTCTCTATATAATAATATCATTATTTGAATACGTGTGTGTGTGTATATATATATATATATATATATTCCTCTGAGTGTTGACAATATTTTTGTTTTTTAGATATACTTTAATATCTTAAATTGCGTTTAACAGATTGATCCTCTTTAAGAAATCGATTTCTCAAAATTACCGAAAGTCTGTGTTGCACCACCACTTTTGTATTCTTGTACTTGAAATATCTACCATACAGAATTTTGTAACCAAAAATCATACTCCAATCCTTCATAATTCACACCAATTTTTATTTTTTTTGTCTAGTATACTCCAATATCTTAAACTACGTTTAACAAATTGATCTACCACCAGTATTCTTGTATTTGAAAAATCTACAATACAGAATTAGTCTGCATTTAACAGATTGATCTACCACTTTGAAAAAAAATTTACTTATAACAAAAAGTCATGGAAGCAGAATTTTATAACCAAAAGTCATATTATCCAATTCATCAGAATTCACAGATAAGTCATTTATATATATATATATATATATATAAACCAACATTACCAATATTATCTTTAATAATTGTTCTTTTTTTATATAAATAAATTTCATGTTTCAGAGTTCCATCACGTAATCATCCTATTGTTTGTGTTGAGATTTTACCTCTTGTAATTAGAGATTATATAGATTGTACAGCTGTAGTATTAAATTATTTACTCCTTGATTTAAGGCTAATTGGTAGGTAATTAGTTTCCCGTATAATTAGTTACCTATTTTAGCTAGGTATTATTCTATAAATTGAATGTAACACTATCGTGAATAATATTATATAGAGATTTAATTCTCATATTCTTTATCTGAATTTGAAGATGGTATCAGAGTCATCCTTGAACCGTACCTTTGAATCTCTTTAAATTTACCTTTTAAATACACAGACCCATACACATACATTCATACAACAAACCCATACACATACACATAAATTCACAAACCCATACACATACACATACATTCACCATAACCACCACTGATTGACGCCTGTCTGCCATCACATGCTAGAAATCACGCCCGCTGCCATCACAAGCCGCAGCTGAACCACTGCACTGTCCATCACCGTCGCCGAATCTTCTTCGTTGTCCATAGCCGTCGCCGGTTTGCTCTCGCGGCCATCCCATAACTGCCGACCCAAATATTGAATCCTCTGGAATGAAATCAGTTTCTATTTTTGTTCAATCTGAAGGTGTTTTTAATACAGGGATTAGCCTTACTGAATCCAATTATGACGTTTGGTCCCAACTAATGGAGATGCATATTACTGAAAGGAAGAAACTCTCCTATATTCGTGGCAAGACTAAACCACCTGTTGAATCAGAAGATGGTTATGACAAGTGGTACACCAAAAATCAGAAAGTGAAGCGGTGGTTATTAATGTCCATGACTCCAGAAATTATGAAGCGTTATTTACGCTTACCCACTGCCCACGAAATCTGAAGTGCTCTATCAAAGACCTTTTTATGATGGGAATGATGAGTTACAAGTTTTCGCTTTGAACTAAAAGGCCTTCACCGCCAAACAAAATAGAAAATCTCTATCTGAATATTATAGAAAGCTAACTGAGGTTTTTCGAGAAATGAACCATCGAGATAAAGTGGTTATGAAAGATCCGGATGACATTGAAGCATATCGGAAGTTTATCGAGCGACTAAGGGTTCACATCTTTCTTGCCAGATTGGATGGTGATTTTGAACAAGTTCATAGAAAAATTCTACGCAAAGATCCAGTTCCAGACTTGGAATGCAACTCTGAAAGGGAAGTCCGA